ATGTTGACATTCATTTCTATGCTCCCCCTTCTGTCCCCCTCGGTTCTTAAAAAAAAAAAGCGTGTATATCTGAGTGTCCAGAAGCAAAGGGGGAAGAACCTTAGAAAATTGGAGGATTCCCAGGCATTCTGCTGAGGAAGCAGGAGCAAGCCTGATAGAATAAAGATATTTAGAAGTCTCAGGTTGCCAGCCTATGTGGTAGAGAAGTCCCCTAGCTACACATACTAGCATCTTGGTCAGGCTTTGGGTCTGTTAGGTGGGTCCTGACACACACCTGAGAGCCATGGACACCCACTAGGCAGGACATCAGAAGTCCAAGGGCCAGAAGCCCAATAACCCAAGCTTTGGGAAGTTGACCTTGGGGATTTTTCCCCTCAAACATAGGTTTCAGTGAAGTGCTTTTTCACGAGTCCAGGAGCACTCTACCTAGCAGGACTATAATGAATTCATTGAGCTTAGCCTAATGACAGGTTTCAAAAGGAAACTAGATGCTAAGCACTTCTGGCAGGTGTAGATTTCTGTCTATCTGTGCCCTTGTTATTCCTCTGTAAAATGGAGATACCCATAATTCCTACTATATCACATAAATTAAATGGAAACCGTTATACTAACAGACTGTAGAGATGCTTTGACACTCAAATAATGAGTGTAGCATACAGGTAGCTTGCTTAAAATGAAGTCACCCACTTTTAAGATGTGGTGTAAATGAAACATTTCCAGCTTTTGTATTCTTGACCTGCAATCCTCAGTTAAAAAAAAAATATATATATAACTCATTTGAACATGACAGTCATTTAAAAAGCACCTTCAATTCTGCATTGCTCTTAGGTGCACATATTCATACAAGCATTATGCTCAAGAAGAACGATCACAAAGGATTGTACAATGCCTAGTAGGCTGCAGCTTTGATGAGGGGAGGTCTGCAGGTACCATCAGGATATAAATGACAGTAGTATCCAACAGGGTAGAACATGCAAGCAAATGTGCGTTGATGTTTTATATGACTGAGGCCTGATCCCACTGATTAAATTCCTGATTGGCAGGTAGATTTGTCACTGTCTTACATGGTACCAAATTTTACCCACATATTATCCACCATTAACCAAAGGAAAACTGATCACTCCATCATCATATAAATTGATCTCACTGTGACTTGGCAAGGAGTCAGAGCAGTGATGATATTGACCCTGTAAGAATAGTAGGTCTAATCCCCAGCAGCATTAACCTTTGTTTAACCAAAAGTTAAATCACTCGATGAAAGGCAACATTTTATTACTATCCACCTGCAACAAATAGCTCATTTCTTACTACTATAATTCAACTGCTGGTATTGAAGAGCAAAACTTGCACTTTACTTTCAGAGGCTCTTGAGTAATTCACATGGAGGTCATGGATCAAAACTGATTATATAGTCGTAATGATCAAGTCCCACAAGGTGTTATACCCAGCACAGAGGGCTAAATGTAGCAACTGAATCCTGTAGAGAAAGACGGAGATTGTGAACAAATTACCTTTAGTTAAGAATACTGACCAAGTTGTATTAAGAGGATGGCCAAGCAGGAAAGATGGTCTTGACTTCTGGGGCAGTATTCATCCTTCCAATTGCCCAATTATTATTTTTTTCTGAGAGAACCTACATAAAACTGATAGTCACTTTTATTGTCTCAGTTCAGAAACAGCTGAAAATCCTAGAGCTGGTATTTTTCCATAGCATTTGAATTAATGACTAGTAAGATTATGTTGCCAAAGGCCCATCAAGTGCAATCTCACCCCAATCACCAGCATATGCTTCATCCTTGGCAGTCTCTCATGTTTTGAGAGCATCTTGCCTTTAATCAAACACATTAAGCCAGAATTACGTCAGGTCTTTCCTTGCATATTTCTCTGCTCTGTGAGATCAAGTTCTGCCCATAAGCATGTGTCCCTGCATTGTCTCATGACAGATGGTTTTCTGCAGCATTTTGCATACCCAGCCTTGGTTGTACCTGCTCAGCTTCTACCACAACACAGTCCCAAAGTTATGATTTTCTTTCTTTCAATAAAGTTTATTTTTCTTTATTAAAAGCAAATGTCATGGGGCTTTTGTAATCTGTAGGCCTACACGATAGGCCACAGGAAAGAGTGCTGCTTTCCAAATTTAATATTCTTTAATGTGTTTGTTAACAGAACATTGACATCTGCTTAATGCTTTCTTTACAAGAATCTATCAGATCTCCCCTTACGTATTTCTTGCCAATCTCAACTACCAGCTTTTGCATTTACAAAACAGAACATGAAGTAACAACACAGCTTAAAGTTCCAGAGCTAGAATCTTGCATAAACCTTTTATTATTATTATTATTATTATTTTGGAAAGTACATCTGCTCTTTCAAATACTTTTAATCACGGTGACCTCATGCACTGAGCTGCTGTTTAGACAAAAGCCACCCATTTACTGCAGAGCTACAAAGCAGAGAAGAAAAACAATGAACTAAGGGATAGATAGTTAATACATAGCTGTCCTCCTTGTGCCAACGCTGCCAGCAAAGCTCCAGTGCAAATCAGATGCCTTATTGGAGAGAATTTTTGGCAGCCTAAAAAGAAACAGCAGCAACTCAAGTGTGTTTCTAAACCTCACTTATAAAACCAGTCTTATGTACTGTAAACTGTCAATTGCTATTTTTAACCCTTAGGCTCCCGTGTTTTGTTTTCATTTTGTCAAAGCAAAGGAATGTGAGAGAGATGTCTATTAGACTCCTTCACTCAGCCCGAGGGTTAATTACTCAGTTTGGTAGACATTTGAAAATATTATGTTACCTCTAACGGCAAAATTGATAGAAGCTTGTTTCAGGCTCACTTTATGTCATTATGGCAGATTAAATTAACTAATCATAAATTACAATGGCTAAAGTACATCTGCTACTCACTAAACCCACAGAAGGAAGAGAAGGGGGGGGGTTTCTGAATAAGAAGTAAATACCACACAGCAAATTAAAGACTTTTTCAAACCAATAAACATACATTCAAGCAACAAAAGTTGGAAGTATCCCAAAGATGACAGCAACAGATTCTGAAGACCATGGCAGCAGTCTAACACTGAACCTGTAGCTGCTGCAGAAAGGTACCAACACTCCAATGCTACAGGGGCATATCCACGGATCAAAGAGTAAAGATGGTCCATTAAAGAATAAAGAAGGTCAATTAAAAAATAATAAGCATGCTCACATTATTGTTAGATGTCTTTGAATACCAATATGACACGAGGTGCATGTTTGCAGCCTCTTCTTCCTGTGTCACCTTCCATTTTCTGTTCAAAGGGACTGATTGTACCATTTCTATGTGCTTCCAAGGACAGCATGGATGTACACATCACTGATCTAGAAGATAATATAGATTTTACAGTGATCCTCGTTACCCCCTGCGTTGCAGGATGCAGATGTGACAGCTGATACCATGTCGGTATGATTGAATTCCTAAACAGGGCACGGACAACTGAAGTTAGAGATGCATGGGAGAAATGGAGAGAAAACACAGGCATTCAAGACTCTTCTGTGCAGTATAAAGTATTAAGACCCTATCTGTAAACTCCTGGTATACCAGCTCAATCAATCACATTAAACGAGGATTTTCTTTTTTCAGAACAAAATAAGGAAGAAAAGTAGTATTATATTGTATGATGTGGATTCACGTATGCAGTTGTTAAAAAGCAGAATGTTGTTTCGGGATGACCAGATAGCTTGCTCCTGTCTAGGAAACAAACTTTGCTGAACACCTACAAAGAGAGTTCAAGTAAGACGGTCAGCTTCCTAGTGACCGTGTTTATAGGGAGGGCAAACAAAGGATTGACAAATCTATTGTGTTCCTTCAGGTGTCACAGAGCCTCAGGAAGCTTTGAGGGCATCTGAATAGCCCAAACTTAAAGTGTGAACTCTCAACAAATCATAAAGTCTTCTGGAAAGCTGCATCGCTCTCTGATCACCTGTTCCCAGGTTTCTACTCCATCAGTCCCTTGAGGCAGATGATGCTCTTAGTATCATCTGAGTCCTTTTCCCTCATGTTTCCCTCCCATTTCTTGTTCTCTCAACAATATTCCCCAAAGCACCTTCTATGCATGATGTGTACAGCTACAAAAAAGTCAGAAGGAATGAAATACAGCTACTCAAGGCTTTAAAGGAAAGCAGCAAGGAAGGGAATTGTGTCCCTCACTGACATGCAGAAGGCAATGATGAGGTTTAGTCCTGCATTGAAAAAATTCTAAAAACTTCCTCTGAAAATAAAAGAAAGCTTAGATCACCATCAGTCACTGGATAACCTATTTTAAGCCCATCAGAGCCAGCACGCTGTTCTCATGTTGCTAATTAAAAATGATAGATTCATCAATTAATCTCTCTTCCTGTCCCCTAGTCTCGGTATGAGATTTTTCAAAGGGACAAATGGTAGTTAGGTGCCCACAAGTATCATTTCAGCCCTGAAAACTTGTGCTTTTGTCAACATGAATCCAACCTTGTCTCTTTACACTATGAAATGACAAAAAGAAAACCAAATGAAGCTTTGCCACTCTTAAAAACACAACAGATTTCTAATTTGGGAATAATCTTATCCTCTGTACAATGAATATTGCTACATAAATCCTTCCTGGGCTCCAATCTGAACTTGCTCATTGATAGATGAATAAGCCTCTGTTAAATTTGGCAGAGAGAGATATCCTAAGCTTAGGCTCTTGATTGAAACTCAATTGCAATACTTACTACGGAGCAGTCAGAGACACTCCACTATTTCGGAAAGAAGCAACGAAGGCAATCTATTTTTATTCACATTGAAATGGAGACAAAGATAAAGGTCCTGCTGTTAGCTTAGCAAAGTGCCAGTCACATAAAGCAAGCCAACAAAATGGGTTATCTTTTCCCTTCAATATACGTATCGCCGGGCAGTGAAATAGAATTGGGGTGTACAAGGTTAACAAGCCAGCATCATGTTATGAAGCAAGCGATAAAATTGTCTTATAGTTCTTAACTCTGACCTGTTCCAGTGAAAAGCTGCCAAGCAGAATTATGTCATCCTGAACATCTCTCTCAAACTGTTCAATATATGAAGGAATCTCTTCATCTTCAAGCTCCCTGTGAAGGTCACGTGCCTTACTGGAGCTGACAGGCATCACGGAGTCTGGAAAATCTTCACTGGTGACACAGGCTGCTTGAAACAAAAGTGGCAGATTATCTCTTAGCAAATGGAAGTTCATTCGCTGGTTAGTACCTTCTCAGTTAACATGTTTGACCCACCAACATTTTAAGATGACAATTCATGCCATAAAATGGACAGGAATAAATAACAGCAGTAGAAAACCGGCAGGTTCCAAGTGTCATTACCAGGAAAACTCTCCTCAAGAGCAACATCTGCATACAGGTACAAATTTAGCACATGCAGCTTGTTCCTTAAATAATTTTTAAAAGGGGTGCTCTGCATTTCCGTGGTCACTTTGCTCCCATGCAAAACTTAAAGGAACTGGGATTTGGAATGACTTTGGCTTTTGCTCCTGAGGAAGAGGAGGAATAAATGCAGTTGAAAGGGAGTTTTAGGCGGAGCCACACCAAGCATTTCATCTTCCTCCCACTCACCCCAGAGGATCAAATTCCTCCCCTAGGTGTGTGCATGCAGCTCCTGCCTAATTAATTGGGTCCGGTTCTGCTCTCACCCACATCATTCCCCTGATTTCACTGCGGTGACGTAAGCAGAACCAAAGGGTATATGCTGCACATAAATAAAAATAAATCCCATTCATAAAGTTGACCTTAAAGAGAAGTGATGTCCTTTTTTCAGTTTGGTTCATCATACTATTAAAAAAAAAAAAAAGATCTCTCATTGAGATCTGCTACTTTACTAATACTGGCTTGGGTTATAAATAATAAAGACTATTTTTGCTCATTTCTCCATGTTAGGACCACTAAGAAATGATAGATATCAGGTTGTCCACATCTGACTTTCTTGCCTCATATTTCTGTGTGTAAGTTTTTATAGTTCTCTGTGCCTTTCTTTGCAAGAAACTGCCATATCTAGTTATTTGCTTTTCTCTTTGTCCATCCTAAGACATGAAAGCAGTTAAAAGATTTTTTTTTTCTCTCACTCCCCTTTGAAGTCTCTCATTCTCTAATGAAGACCAGAAAAGGAAAGATAAAACTAAGGCTATTAACATTTTCAGTTTTGCTCGCTACTCATTGTTTAATGACTTTAATTGTTGAGCCTCCCGAGTACTTAAATCACCTCAGTGCCACCAACACACAGGAAGTAGGGTGGGTTTTTTATTTAATTACAACAGGATACAATTCAAAATCATGTTGGGGGAAGTGTACAGTAGATATAAACAACCCAAACCATTACCTTAGGGTACACAATCTCTTCATGTAGCATCTTACAAGCCTAATGAAAAGTGATTTGACCTACAACTGTTAACTGCAAAAACAAAACAATATTTACATTTAAATTTACTGTAACATTAAGGGTTTGGCTAGGAGAGAGAAAATCCAGGAAGCGCTGGAAAAGGAAACATTGCCAACAGCAGAAGATGCAGCATCGCTTGCTCCCCTCGACGCTGTGTTGTACACAACAGGCCATATGCTCAGCCGGTATAAATCAGCTGCTTTACTGCTTTCACAGGAGCAGTGCAAGTTTACGTCCTGGGAAGACTGTACATTCCTATCTCAGGATCCTCTGGGTGTAGAGAAATAGTCCTTATATATCAACAAAGAAATAAAAACATTTGGTTCGCAAAGACAACCATGCAGTGATTCATCAAAATACCCTTTTTCTTTTTTGTATTTATTATTTTTGTGAGGAATTGTATCAAGTGAACTTAGTTTTGGTGGAATACACTGGGCTCATTAGCACATGTTTTGTGGGGAAAAAAGCAAAGGAAGAGAGAGAACATTTTCAAAAGCCTTTCAGGGAAGTAACTGCTAAAAATACAGAGATAAATTACAATTCAGTTTTGAAAAACATTTAATGAAAAGATACATATGCTCATTTAAGCACAGTTGGAAAAACTATTCATTTGCCTGAGCTGGAGACAGGGAGAGAACAGGGTTGTTCTCTTGGTCTGTTCCTTCCTTTGCTGGCCTTGCAAAGAAACCTCTGAACCTCAGTCACCATCAGGTTGGTCCTTGTTTGAACTAACCCACAGGTTAGAGGCTTGAGCTGCCACCCCCGAGCAATGCTTGACAGAACAAAGCCTCCACCTCCTTGCTACTGCTACTACAAAAGTAGTAACATTTTTAACACCATGGCTACTTTGTACAGGAGACAAAATGGCTGAAAATTTACAAGGAAATTCATTGATAGATTGATAAAATAATTAAAAACTGGCTGCTTCAAGTTGTTTGCATCAGTGTCAAACTTTTGATTTTGCCTCAGCTGTACTTAACACTGCAAGTCATACTTTCCACGTTGTTTAAATCACTACTACTCCTTAGCACAGGCTGTATTTGCAGATGCTATGCTGTAATTAAAACAATCTCTCTGGTATTAGCTTGGCTGCTTGTAACTTCATTTACTCCTGCATTTGTCCATCAGACAGCAGTGGTTTACATACTGAGATGAGAATTTAAAGGGTAGGTTCACCAGCAGACTATACCTCAGCATGGATTTGAATGTATAAAGCACTATAAACTCCACATGGAAAATGCATTTTGGCTGCCTGGTTCTAGAAGACTCTGTGTATAATTTGTAGCTAAAAAAGTACATCAGCAAAGGCTCATGCATCTGTTTCAAACAATTAAAATGCTGCAAAACATTGCACTTCAATTTTTCAGTTGTTGCCAAAGAATAATATAACAGAAAAATATTTTTTTATGGTATTCACCTAGCATCATTTTAGATGTGCGTGGATCACAATCTTACATTGTTTAAGAGGTTTTATCCCTAGGTAAAAAATATACAGTCTACATCTTCCTCTAAAAAGCAACCAACCGATGTTGCCTTTTAAGTTGCCTTATAATATGAACTAACACGTGCCACAGGAGCGACCAATAGTTTACTCAGCAACAAAATGCTTTAAATATACAATTATATAAATTCTGAGCCACGTTTTTTCCTTTCCTTTCCTTTGGGGATCATCTATTAATTAGGACTGTATGACTACGTGATTTTTCAGCTCAGTGGTCAAATGAAGAAAAGAAGCAGTCCTGTAAGAGTGGAACCAAATGAATCCTAGTTTTCTATGGATTTTCTGATGTCTAATAAGGGTCAAACTCCCATATTAGCTTTTCCCTCAGTGGAGACATTAATAATGCTTGTCTGCTCTGCTCAGCTGCCCACTTCCATAAAACTGGTAGGGAAGTCAGACCTGTGAGACTTGCTCTCTGTTTAAAAAAAGGGGTTGGAAGTGAACAACAGGTTCAAAAATTGGGAGGGAGAAACACAGACAGGCAGAAATAAATACAGCCTGATACACGCGCACAGAGGTGGAGACTGCACAAGCCTCACTTCCTCAGGAAAATCTTGCTCTTCTCTGCATTTTATTCACTGAAGCCAAGAACAGTAAAAAAAATTCAGCTAGGTTGGGGTGCAACATTCACCCACAGGACTAGCTCTGGCCATTATGGAACTTTTAAGAAATAAAAGCACTGAGGCACCACTCGAGACACAAGACAGCAGTGGGCTGCAGTGTATCTCCCACTCGCTGCCTTCATGCCTACCCAGGGGGGTTCTGATGTGCACCTGGAGTACGAGACACGCGCGTTAATGCATTTGCTTGTCCTGGAATTGAATCAGTGAGCTGGCAGCTCGGCAGCCTCGGCAGCCTCAGCACAAGATCACTGTCCACAGAGCACACCCCATACATTCAAATGGCTTTGGATGGATGAGAGATTGGAACCTGTCTCACACCCCATATAGCCTAAGAGTAATAACAGCATTTTGCCTGTCATGGTGGTTTGATAAAACTAGTTGGAGAAAAAGATGTTTTCAGTTCAAACATACCTGGTGAGTTTAAATTATAAACATTTGAGGAGATCAGTGAAACCTTACTTCTCTGTGTATATGCTATTTGCTATTATCCTCTGTAAAGCATCTGTTCTTCTTAACAATATTCATTAATGTTATTTGTAATATAAAATAAAGCTTTAGGGCACGTAGCTGAAGGAGAGAGTAACCACTGATGGATGGGGAAGGCTTCGCCTTCACTCCCTAGTTCCCTTGCTTAAAAGTGGACAAATACACACGGCACAATTCAGCTTTCTTACCTTTAGCCACGCAAAAACCAATGGACAAGTCTAAGTCAGTTGCCCAAGACCCTTCTAGAGCCAAAGGAAAGACGACCTGCTTCCAGGGCACAATTTGTCCTATCAGCTAAGAGGTGTTTGCGTGAGGTGGTGCTGAACTACTGCCCAGAGGTGCTTCTCTCTCCCTCTCCCACCACTTTGGGGGAGCCCCAGAAGCTAACTTTCAGAAAGCTAATAGAAAGAGTACTAGACCCCTCCCTGGGGCAGCCTGTAAAATAACATCAGGACATTTTCCTTAATCATACAGGGTTATTTTGATGATAAAGCTATTGGATAATATGAAATGCTATAAATATTGCTAGAGAGGGACTACAGAAGTACCACAGATAGACACCCCATGTCAATCTTTCCTATAGAAATAATGTTGACTTCACAGCCAAATATGGTTTTATTTTAATCTATGCTTTTGCAGGATAAAAGCAACAATCAACCTGCAGCACCGCTATAATCTTTCTCCAAAATGTGCAGCTCTACATTAACATGCAACAATAGAGACCTTGCTAATAATTTGTTAAAGGTTTTTGCTTCAACTATTTGCCTGAATTTAGCTGTGATAGTTGTACTTTCTTTTCCTTGCATTTAAAATGAGACAAAATAGGTTTCAAAGATGTTACTGATATGACCAGTGCCAGTTCAAGGGATTTTGCAGCCCTAGGCAAATGAAAATATTTGCCTCTTCTAGAACAAAGTTGCTCACAAACTAAATAGTCATAAAACATGTTGCAGCTCCTGAAGATCCACTGCCGTAGGCAACTGCTTGCTCTGTCTCTCTGACAGAGTAGGTCCTGTGTATAGCTGAAATGTAAGAAGAAACCTAATACAGATACAAAGAACAGAAAATACTTTTGCACAAAAGACCAGGCTGAAAAAGGAGAGGGGGATACCCAAAAAATACAAGGCATCCCTGAGCTAGGGCTTGTTCATATATCACTTCTCCTGTGATGAACCAGAGAGCAGCAGACATGCACCTTATGTAAAGGTTGTGGTGGTAACGGTCCTGTGAATCAACTGGGTATTAAATAAGGCCTGTAAAAATAAGTGAAGCCAAAGTAAGGCTGTTGGCTTGAGGTGAAGAAATCTCTTCTCGTATATTTCATTGTTTTTACTGTAGATGGAACATCAATTTGTATTTTCTAACAAAGCCACAGAAAACATTTTCTTACTCACCTGTTAGTGTAAATCCTTACAAAGATAACCTCAAAAACTGTGTGACATGACCCGTGCATCTGACAAATGGCCCACCCATTTATGAGCTTAAATAAAGTTTTAGTTTTCTAGCTTTAAGCACATAAGCAATGATATTTCCAGTCTTTTTTCATAAGGGTGGAATTCAACATGCAATGAAGCAGCCTAGAGAAAGCACACCACTTAAGTTACACTTAAAACCACATAAACACAACTCAAAACAAAAACATTTGGGGAAAAAGATCTTACAGGCTCACATTAAAATCAATGTCCCTTTTGCTTCTGAGTTCAAGGGGATGGATTACCCACTCTCTTCCCCACATCCAGACTCAAAAGTTTTATTTTTCTTTATGAAAATGATTTTTTTTTTTTTATTTACCTTGGAAGTCCAGCATCTTGTTTTCTTCATCTAGAAGCTTCATCAGTTTACCATACAGGATTTGCTCATCAAATTTCACAGGATCTTAAAAAAAAAACAATAGTGAAACATCTATTGTTTCTTCCAGTACTATTTCAGGAAACACCATTTTAAACTATAAAGATATAAAACTACAAAAGTTAAGAAAACATTTGACACTGTGCCTTGGTTTTCACAGTGCTAGTTTCATAGCAGAGGTGACTGTCTTTTCTTCTGACTTATGAAAGACAGTTTAAAATAAAAATATATAATTATATACTTTTAAATGGTGAGAAATATTATATCATAAGAAATATTATATCTTGATCTGGACTGAAACTGGTTTACTAATTCTGCTAATAGACTCATTATAATAATTATTTATATTCAAATTACCAGATGAATTCTATTTGACTCAATAAAAATCAAAGTACCTAATTTCTTTTCAAATGTGACTTTGGATCTTCATTAGAAATTTTACCTCACTGTCCATAATACTAACACGTTATCTAGTATGAGTAGTCATTACAACACACTACGAATTTTGATGTTGTGGCTGGTCAGTCATTCAAATTCCCAGTAACATCTGCAGATTTTAAAAAGGAGCAAGGGACACACGCACATGTACCTTTTTCCATGAGACCTAAAAAATCACTTCAAGTGTCTATATTCAAGGGAGAAATCACCAGCTGAGATTGTCTTCTCTCCAAATCTCCCAGACCCTGGCTTCTTTAAGTTGTCAGTGAAGATAGGCAGGTAGAAGGCCAAAGAAATGCATACAAGGTAGGTGAACTGAAGTACAGCTACAAGCGACCTTGGGTGGCTCTTTTTAAGTGCCCAATAGAATATCAAAGAATAAATTTTCTTTACCATGAAATTTCAGAGCCAAGTTTTTCAGTTATGCTGAGCATACAAAGAGGGAGGCTTCTGCAAACCTCTACTGCAAGTACAGAATCTTTACATTTCTTTTAGTGTGTAACTTTGAAGCGTTCCCTTGGCGAGGGAGGGTGAAGCAAATCCATAGTGGAGCGTTGTTTGTTCTCAGGGCATTATCAACTCAGACAAATTTCCAGAACAAATTTAATTTATCAAATATAGAAAAGATAATTGCCAATATCTTCATTTTCACAGAATAACCCATTAAAGAATCCCATATGATGAACACATTAAATGATATTTAACTTTGTGTAATAGAGTTAGTGGCTGAAGATTTGCTTTTCACTAGCTATTCTCTTTGGGCATTGGGCCTGACTCACTTAAGTCATAAGAAGAGTGTAACTTTAGAGTGTGCCCTGATTTCTTCGTCTAGTTCTGCTTTTGTCTCTTGTTAGTGACAAGCTGCTAGCTGGAAGGAAGAGGTAAACTAATATGGTTTCCAGTTGGGGGATGACCATGAAGGACCAGACTTCAGTTCTGACTGTCCTTTTAATTCTGTCCACTACATACTAATGTAGTTCCACTTACTGAACACTTCTGCAAGGAAAAGGAAACTAGACAATTAGCCTGGTTTGTGAGTATAACTGAATCACACTGGTTGAGGTGGGAAGGGACCTCCAGAGGCCATCTGCTCCAGGGCCCCTGCTCAAGCAGGGCCACCTAGAGCCAAGTTACCCAGGACCACGTCCAGACAGTTTTTGAATATCTCCAAGGTGGAAGACTTGCTCTTGACAGAGGCGTTGGTAAATATAGTGTTATAACTGCTTTGCAGATGTCAACACAACCAACCTGAGGCCAGTACCATTGCTAACAGACCTTTAATAAACAAGTGTTACCTCAACCTTTGAGTGACATTTTTGCTGGGAAGAAAAAGGAGGAATGACAAAAGACAGCTGTTCACACATGGATCTCAGGTCTAGCCTGATATGCAAATGCCTAAAACCACCTCCCCACTCCCAACTCTGGAACTGGATGGACTTTCTCAGTGCTTTCATCTGTTCCAAATAAAAAAAAAAAAGAACATTTAAGTTTAAGTGTTTATCACTCAGCCTCTTCAACACAGGCAAAGAAGCGTTTTCTCCCAATGAAAACTGTACTTCCATGTATCCCTTATGTCACCACTCTATCCGTACATGTTTTTAGGCACACACATACAGTTACAGAAATCTAATCCGCTTTTCATTCTCTGGTTATGAAGCAGATCATGACTCATGAAGCCTACTCATAAGATGAACCAAGGCAATACTAAGAGGGGAAAAACAAAACAAAACAAAACAAAATCTTTCATTTAAAAACTCTGAGCCAGAAGTTGATTTCCAAGGTATTACATTGCTGTTCTATACAATGAATAGGGAAATTATAGGGGTTAGATGTAATTCACCGTTAATAAACCTTGATTTTTTTCACCAGTATGCAGAAATTCAAGTTACTGACGAGCATTAGAGCCAGTTTTTCTCAGTCACACAAGTTTTTGCCTCAAAAGCGTAAACCTCCATATCTACTCAGAGTGAAAGTTTCTCATGAATTTCAGAAGTGACCTACTTTGAGACCCCTTACAGTAGACAAATTGTTTTAGATTGACTACAACTGCCTGTCTAGAGAGTCTCTGCAGTACAAATAAGCACAAGGTTTAATAAAGCAAAGGGCTGGGAAGGTAACACAGGAGAATTGGGTCTTGCGTGCTGTCGGGTTGTTGGTGCTTAACAACAGGAGCTGGGCCAAAGCATTCAGTGCATAGCTAAGCACTTCATTACCATGATGATGTTCTTACTTAAGTCCATGCAAATTCAGGCAGGCCCGTTCCCACCCTTTTTTATCTAAAAGCCATGACAGCAAAAAAGAATTTCCTCCGCTAGACAATACCTCCTAGTTAATCTCTCTCATACCTATGCATAACTTCTTTTCTCCCAGCTCTGCAGTCACGCCCTCCCACTCCTCACTATCGCCCACAGAGAGAAAACCTAAACATCCCTGCTAAACTGACACAAAGAAAACCAAAAAAAGCCTCCTCATGTGCTGGGAACTTTTACGGGCTCTAGGGTTTCCTTCTGTACGGTAAACACACATTCAGCTCAGTAATAAAATTGCTCTCCAAGAAGGACTTTGGGAGCAGGGTTGCAAAAAAGCTACAGGTTAGTACTCAGTTCTGGACTAACTTCGTTAATTAAAGAGAGCATGGTGTAGACAATGTTCTCGGAGTGTGCTTCATTTTGCTACGGTAGCGGAGTGAATACAGCACAGCCTCACTTTTACCCATGCATTAACTCACTGTCCTTGATCAAAGACTATGTATACTGCCTATCGTGTTCAGAGCGGTTAAGGCTTATAATTTAAATTGTAAACCTCAATATTTAAATAGAACTGCATATGTGATCTTTGTCACCTCATTTTCATGAATGGAAAAGAATATTCTGACACCAAAATTACATACTTAATTCTGCCTCACCTTCTTCACTGACCTCCATCCCACACTGCCTTGGGTTTATTTCCTCATCCATCAACGGGTCAAAGTAATTTCTGCTGTATTCATTTCCTGTGGAAAGCACATGAAGTAAGGGTCAGCGATTATTAGAAGCACATGAACCAAAATGTTAATTTTGAAATCGACACCAGCAAGCAAAGGGGCATTTTTTGCTACTTTATAAGCTTAATTTTTTTAACAAGTCCTCTAAGCCTACTAGTACTGCAATTATCATCTTGTGAAAGGTCAGAAAAGGTAACTCTGGAAACAAGTGCACTTTATGTTACTTTTGCTGAGGAACTAATGAGAAAAATTTGCAAATTTAGATGATGGAAAGATAAGAAAAATTAAAAAATCCAGCATCCCCAACATAAGCCAAATTATTCTTAAAACACATTGTACAAGTGAATTACCAATGCTGCAGAGGAATTTGTGTTTCACAGCTGACCCCTCCAATTTCAACAGTTTTAAATTTCACCACTGAGGTTTCAACGTCTGGTGCATCTTTAATACTGTATTCAACCAGAGAAGTGTTTAATTACAGAGGAGATACTAGAATACTGCCTCATTAATCTGAAAAACAATTATATTCAGTTGGGCTAGGTAAGTAATCCAAGATTTTGATGGGATAAACCCACTCATTTTAACACTTTCCATTTGAACAGCTAGTTTTATCTGCTCTTCAGAAACTAATCAAGTTTACAAAAAAAAAAAAAAGCCATTTGTTAGACTTATCAAGAAATAATGCAGCATCTAGCTGCCTAGAGGAACTCCTAGTAAAAGCCAGAAGAATTTCTTTACACAAGGGAGAGCTTTTTCCTCCAAATATGTCCTTCCTTCAGCAAAAGTGCTACACTCAGTTAAAACCATCCTCACATTCATTGGGTTTGCAAACACAGTAAATTATTACTAAACAGAGAAAAAGTAAAATAATTAAGTCCACAACAAATTTTAAAATTGCTTGAATAGACATAGGTCTGTATCCTGGAAAATACATAAGAGCTAAATGTACGAGGGGGTTAATTCATCCAAGATACACTATAGTAGTCTACTGTGTATTTGTTTTAGGATCAAAAATAATCCAAGCAGCAGCTCCTTTTCAGAGACTAAATGAAACTTTGATATGAAACTAGGTTTAATTTATATTTCTGGACTGGCACATTTTGACTGTCAGTCTCTGTTCCTTCAATGTAGTAAGTACAAGAACTGAAAATTTGCTTTACCTTGAGGTCTCAATAAAGAAAAAATAAATGAGTTTCATTTTTGTTACTTTATCTGTCAACAACTACTAGGCTGGTATGAATCTTGGCAGTATGTAATCAAAGTCTTATGTACTGCAATAACAGAGCCATTCTACCTTATTCACTGTAATTGTTTTCTCTAGCACAAAACACTGTGATGTTATATGAACACCCCTTCACATGTTGGTAAAATAATTCACCCATGTGCTAAAAAAGAAAATGATGATGCATTTCTTTATTCAATTACTTCATAGCTGTAAATGTAAATTTCTGGTAAGTATGTTGTAACCATACAAGCAATACTCAGCTAGTGCACAGGCTTTTTGCGCAGTCTTAATAGCACAACAGCTTTTATTGAATTTTAATGCCCCATGTTCTTTAACCTGTGGGTCTGGTGTGAAACTCTGAGGCGTAGACTTTTGGGCAACTCTTCTGGACAGAATAATTGGCATTTAGGAGGAAGTGTCACGTTATTTTTGAGTCTGTGAGGCATGGAAACCATTATTCAAGAAAGAGATACGTTGACAAATACCATTAAACAGCTTGCTCTTTGGTCCTCTTTAAAAAAAAGAGGAGCCTCAACCCTTCTTTGAGGAGTATGAGATATTTCATCCAAGGCTTTGGCTCTGTCAGAACTGCACACAGCTGGAGACAAAGTTATGCAAAAATAAAAAGAAGAAACAGGTTTGATTTTTCCAGAGCAACATACACACTTTAAAACCTACATTGGTAGAATGAGTGGTAAATGCCAGAATCACCTTCTTATGGTGATTTTATAGATAACAAGCCATTTTAAACTGCAGGACTCCACAGAAGACTTTCAAGTGAGGCTTTCTGAAGAGTCAAAATCACTGCAAACCTTAGATCACTGCTCTTGAGGGGTTTTTGTAAGTTTTTTGGTCTTTTTCCCCCCCTCAGCTCAACATACACCTTGACAACTGGTGTGACCAGGAGGTCTGGGCTCTGCGCAGGTCCAAAGATTTGTTGGGGCAGGGGGAGTTGCTTTGGTTTTAAAATACAAAATTATCAATTTTAGTCAACATAACATACTGCCCAAGGCATTTTCCTAATAACATTTTTGTGAGCATGTGAACAGATTACTAATCACTTCACATTTGCTTTTGGAAATATTTGAAAGTGTATAACATGTAAATTAACAGTCCACTAAGGAATTCACATCGCTCTGCTTCATGGTATAAACACAGTAAACGTTAATACAGAGCTTGCTTGCAGGTATTTTGAACAGCGGTGTATAGCTTGGTGCTTTCAGACAGCAAATTACTTTGAATACCCGCTCCTACAAAGACTTGGCCAACTCTAGAAACTTAGGTCTTTGCTTTGATCCAGAGGTTTGCTCAAACCCATTAACTCAATTTGAAACTCTTCACCCCTCAAAATTGTGTTGTTTCATGTGGAAGACGCAATGGATAATTCAGGAAATTGGAATTGAAGTGCAAAACCACAGATTATCTATAAATTCAAATAAAAATGGAAAGAAGGGTGTTGGCACAACAGTGACCAGGTGGGAATTTATACAGTTTAATTAAAGCAAGAGGAGTTGCTAATAAAATTAGCATAATCCTTGGATGTAGCCCATGGGACTGCACACGTATTACTAGGACTGGAAGAAACTCTAAGATGGCTTTTAAGCTAAGATGTCTGTAGTCAATTATACAGTCTATGTCCTGAGAATACCACAGAAATGGCATGACTAAGCTTCATTTCTACAACGTCTTCTACTCCACAAAGAGATCAAGTAGCCTGTATCAATACCATTTCAAGGCTACAGCATGGAATTTAGATGACAGAAAATTATTCCATTCATATTGTACTATTGATCTAGGTTTTTAGTTTAATGAAAGAAGAGACAAAACTGTTAGATTTGTTAAGTGCCTCCTGACCAATGTAAAAATGAAAGAATTATTAATAGCCAGGTGACTGATTACTAAAAGCTTGAACAAGCATTTACTGGTGCTTGTTTTCAGTGAAGTTGGGTCTCAGGAATAAATGCAAAAATTTTGGCATGAGCCAGTTTTCGTTAGAAAACAGAATGCAGACTACTGTAGGAGCAAACTTGCCTTATTAAGTAATAGGCCTCCCTTTTCAGGCAGCAGCATGGTCAACGTGTGTCTCCACAAATGACTTGGTAGAACATTACTGGGCATTACTAAGGTAACTCATAAAAGCCTTTCGCATAAGAGAATAAGACAGAGGTATCTTGGAAAGATGAAATTCCTGTCTGAGACAGCATTTTGACCTAAAGTGTTTCTGAAACATAGTGATGCAGCCAGGAATGGAAAAGAGTAGTCCTCCTTTCCACACAGCTGTCTTAAAACATCGATTGCAGCAGCAATTCCTGTTAGTGAACATCATGGTAAATACTCACTGTCTCCATTCAACAGAATTTAACTTATTTCCCTAGGTACACTTTTCATTTTACTTTGCAGATATGGCTCTTTGGGCAGCCCAAATGTAAGGTTTCTGTGCTAGCTTATTTCCCAGTTTCTTTATGAGAAGCATATGCAACCGCATGAGCCAAAGCAGCATCCTGGGGTCAGATCTGAACCCCCTCCAAGAGAGGTGCCCACCTTAACTTGTCCAGCAAGAACTAAGACTTGGGATCAGGAGGAAGAGGAGAGTAGGGTCCCACCTCCTGCACTCCAACTGCTTCACTTATTCACTCTTCCTCAAGACATGGTGGGTCTTGTGACTAGCACTCCCACTCATTTTTTTTCTTGATTTAGTACCTACATTGACAAAGCTTGATACCTGCAAGTTGTTTCTTTGTAGATACAGGCCTTTGCTTCTAATCTGCACTTTGGGAAAAAAAAAAAAATCTATAAAGAATTATGAAAAAACCGTTCAAAACAATTAAAGTATAAGAGAGGAGAAAGAAGCCTTAAAAAAAAAAATGCCACAGAATGCAAAAGTGAAGAAAAGTAAAAATCATCAACCAGAACTGCATAAGCAGTAAGAGTTCCTGGACAGTGAAAAGCTGACTGGATTTCCAGTGAATTTATAGGTTCTTAGCTGATTTAAACAATGATTTAAAACTGGAAAATAATTTAGGAAAGTTTGAAACTTTCACAAGAAAACATTTTGAGTTTTTATTCCAAAGTTTTGTGTTGCTAGTTTTACTCACATCTAAACGTTATGAAGATATAAAACTTTAAAGAACATAGTGAATTGATATATAATCCACAAAACAATGTTAACTCTCCATTCTCATTTCGGCAAGAAAAAAAATAAAGAATTGTTATGAGTTAACCAGAAGTTATACTTTTAGTTTGGACTTTTTAGTTATTATTACTGAACCATGATATCTGTTGTGTTTACCTCAGCTCATAGCCATTACAAATGGCTTTAATTAAATTTATATAAGCTGATCTAGGTTACATATAGAAGCTAAATGCCCTAATTAAGACATATTATTACTATTTTAAATTTACATCTAACATTATCATCTATATTATAAGTATAGTTAAATACTATCTATATTATTTTAGACATATAGCTAAAATAAGATTCCTGGGAAGCACGAAGTTATTCCAGATTATCACCAAATACATGGGGGTGGAGGGTAGACAGGGTGTTTTATATAGAGCTTCAAATTTTCATGAGTACCAGGCAGAATTCAATGAAAAATTATGTGTTAATGGCATCCTCAAACTGAAGAGCATTAAGCAAGTCACTGGACAGTAGATTATACCTTGAAAAACACAGCTTGTTAAATACTACCATCACTGGGCAACTTCTCAACCTTCAAAAAGTTTTGAAGGTATTGTATGTCATTTTCCTTATCCTCAGCAGAGACCATAGGTAATGAGTAAA